TGTTGTGGACATACCAACATTGAGACCTCAGAATTAGGGAGACATTCAAAATACATTTTACAGTGTTTACTTATCGGGTAAAATACGTTAAATGTCACCGTTATTATTGGCCGGCCCGAAAACAGCGGGGGTGTCCAAATTCAGAGGCTGCTTCCACCTGAGGACCCAGCCTTCGCGGTCTAAAGAAAGCCGCGTAGTACGTCACGAGTGAAACTCTGCCGTCTGCTCCTTGCTATCTAAAATATAACCGGGCACTGACGTAAACTCTTCTGTTTAATCATTTTCTGTTTGACGTTTATTCAGCTGTGTGAAAACCCCGGAGGATCCTCCCGAGGGATTAATAAAGTTACATTTAATTTAATCTAATCTAATAACTTTAATCTCAGCCAAACCGATTTACACACGAACAAGTAAAACACTGAAAAAGCCAAACAATAGCATTTTTAAGTTATCAAAGTGACTTATATATCATGTTTAACCCGAGTAGCGAAAGACCGCGGGGGTTTGAAGACGATGTGTCGGCTCAGATATTTGAAGTTCACACAGCTACATTCTCACCTGAAAATATGTTAAAAGGTTTTTTTCGACCCAGAAAGAGAAATAAGAGTGATATTAAAACTAAGTCGCTGCCGCCATTGTTGGAAACTGGAATTGGCTGGGCCGCGCTATGAATTCTGCGATATTGTTTTTCAATTTTGTTGTCCGGGTGGAAAATCGGGAGAAATTTGGGAGAATGGTGGCTCCGGGAGATTTTCGGGAGGGGCACTGAAATTCGGGATTCTCTCGGAAAAATCAGCAGGGTTGGCATGTATGGTTGTGGCAACATCATTAACCTCGTCAAACACCTCAGAGTAAATCATATCACAGAATATGACGAGCGTATGTTGAGGCAAACTGAAGAGGAGGAGAGGGACAAGTGCTGCTAAGGCGAGACAGACGTCTCTCACAGAGTCCTTTAGTGCTGCTATACTACGCTGTCATCGCGATAACATGCGAGGATTCCCGGGGCAGGTAGTACAGACACATTTTAACGGCTAACAGCTCAATGTCTCTGCTGCAGAGCCGTGCTTTCACAGTGATGTGCCCTGATGCACCTTTAGTTCTGTTACGTTTCTGTTATGTCTTACTAGTATTTTAAGTATTCTATCTATTTTATTTATTGAATTTTATTGTTTTATTTATATTTTGATATTGCTAGGGATGATGCAATGATCGGGGACCATTCTTAATTGCGTTGTACCTGTGACAATGACAATGACTTCACAATCACTGAAGAATAGAAAGTGTTACTGCATTGTGTTCAGGGAAATGCTGCTATGATGGCATTAAATACAGGGACATAATGCCAATTTGAATGTTTAAGGAGCATGCTTGAATCATTCCTGTGGAGGACAGGAAACAGCAGAAATTCAGGAAGACTACTCCTGCTAACTATTAACAATGCTAATACCCCCAAAACCTGAAGATGGTGCTAAATGTTTAAAGCACTGAAAGCAGAAGAAACATGAAGACATGACAAACCTTCCAAGACAATCTTTAATGGCAAAAAGTATTAGAAGTCGCACTGGAGATAAAATGTGCATGACTTGGCAGTGCACCTGACTGACTGTGTGTCTGCAGGCACGCTAGAGTTAGACCTCCATGGATTTACTCGGGGAGCTAAAACAGCCAAGTCGTGTAAGGCGGACATGCTGACAGACGGGATTGAGAGAATCTCCATCTTTCAGCAGAAGCGAGCACGAGGCTGGTGGCCCTTCACCAAGTCAGGAGAGTTGACCGTAAGTACACAGTAGCACACACATGCACAAATGTAAAAATAAAGTCAAATACAGATCATCAAACAATCGATCTTCCTCCAGGGGAAAGTGGAAGCAGAGTTCCATCTCGTGACAGCTGAGGAGTCGGAGAAAAATCCTGTCGGCCGTGCCCGCAAGGAGCCGGAGCCGCTACCAAAACCAAAGTAAACATAACCACACAAGGCTCTGTTTATCTGTCAGAATAAAATCTCATTTATGTACGAAAAATGCGTCAAAGGAATACAGGGACATTTCTGTCAATTTGAGGTATATTTACATATTTACACATTTTCAATAACAATATTTGGGTAGCCTGGGGGTCCTTACTGGATACAGAGTCAATCCCCCAACCTGAATTGGAGCTATATTCAATTCAATTTTATTTATATAGCGCCAAATCACAACAAAAGTCGCCTCAAGGCGCTTCATAGATACAGAGAAAAACCCAACAATCATATGACCCCCTATGAGCAGCACTTTGGCGACAGTGGGAAGGAAAAACTCCCTTTTAACAGGAAGAAACCTCCGGCAGAACCAGGCTCAGGGAGGGGCGGGGCCATCTGCTGTGATTGGTTGGGGTATCTATCTGTTCATCAATGCACACACAGATATAGAGAGAATAAACAGCCTGTTCCCAAAGATCAGTCCAGGTGTAATCTCATTAACACACAGGCAGACCCACCCAGACCAGTGACTGCACAACACTAGATCCACAGTTTACTCAATTACTTCTTGGTGCAGTTGAGGATATCATATTACTTTCTCTTATGTATTCTATTCTTTTCTATTCTATACTTTTTGATGCTCGAGTCATTTATCTTTTTAGTAATTTTTGCTTGGGTTTGTTTGGTGTTTTTTATTGTCTGGGAGCAGACACGATGTCTGTGAGGCTGTTATGGTGGGAGAGAAGCTGAAGAGAGTGCAAGAGTGCAGCTCTGGTTTCTGGTCCAAATGGATTCACAGTTTGGTTTCTATAAATGAGAGCTGCTCCATCCAAAGTCTTAGTCTTATTACTCATATGCTTTAATTTTCAGACACAGGAGATTCACTGGTTTAATGTGCCAGAATAAAATCCCTCTCCCACTTGAGCTGTTCCATTTAACCTTAGTATTTAATATGAAAATGTTGTCAGTTTATAATACACATCATCTGGATGCACCAGATTTTTAATGTCGTAACATTAGACACTTTCCCAGGTGACCCGTTCAGGGTTGCTAAAGCATCGTAATCATCTGTGAGAATCTGTAATGAACTAAACCAGTTCTTTTGCTTTTCTCCTCTCTTTTCCGCAGTCGTCCAGACACCTCCTTCTCGTGGTTTGTTAACCCTTTCAAATGTTTCTTTCACTTGGTGTGGCGAAGCTACAAGAAGTACATCATCATCGGCATCATTCTGCTGATCACGGCGCTGTTCCTCGCCCTGCTCTTCTACACGCTACCCGGAGCCATCTCCAACAAGATTATCAGCGGCTAAACGAATAAACGATGTGTGTGTGCTGCAGCTCGAAACAGCTTTCCAGATGATCAAAGTCTCCATGTTTTTGAATATTGAAGTTGTGCAGGTGTTTGGTCTCACTTTTTAAAACAACGGGAATAAGAAGAATGAAGGCTGGCCATTTTCTTTTAATTAGTTTTGTGTCTGAATAAATGTTACTAACCAGTGAAAGTTAACATATTAAGATTTTAAGATGATGAAAATGGAAAACAAAATCTGTTTAACCAGAATAAATAAACGTGAGTCAATAACACGTCTGGATTTCATACCTTCATTTATCAGGCACATCATTCAGAGTACAAACACATTATCAGCACACACACCGTCCTTCAGATCATTACACAGAGCTGCTTTCTAAACCAGGTGATACTTACTTACACTTTTCCTCTGATTTATCTGATTTACATGTCTTTGAAGTCCTACCATTAACTAAAGCTTCAACACTGTTGACCATAATATATTATTACAGTGATAAGAGCATGCTTTGGGAATTAAAACACTGTCTGTAGTGGTTTGAATCATATCTAACGGACTCCAGTTTGTCCATATAAATAGGGAATCCTATACAGACTCCACAGGGTTCTGTTCAAGGACCAGTTCTGTTTAAGTTACATATATGCTTAACCTGGGCCGTATCATTAGAAGACATATTTTCACTATGCAAATGATACTCAGCTCTATCTGTTCATGAAGCCAGACAACACACAACAATTAGTTAAACTACAGGAATGTCTTAAAGTAATTAAACACGTGGATAACTTCCAATTTCCTGTTTCTAAATTCAGATAAAACAAGGTTATTGTCCTCTGTCCTAAATAGGATATTTAAAAGAAGAATGGGATTCAGCCTTCAGGCCCCTCTTCTGTGGAACCAGCTTCCAGTTTGGATTCAGGAGATGGACACCCTCTCTACTTTTAAGATTAGGCTTCAGACTTTCCGTTTAGATAAAGTACGTATTTAGGGTTGATCATGTGACCCTGAGTCCTCTTAGTTATGCTGCAATAGGCCTAAATGTCTTGATGCATTCTCAATCATCCAGGAAAATAAATCTCCAAAAGTTGATTCTGTTCATCTGGACGTAGCGTTTTCTGGGAGAAACGTTTCGTCATCATCCAGGTGACGTCTTCAGTCTCAGCTGACTGCAGGTTTCAATCTTATAAACAGTACAGTTGCATAATGACCAGCCCAGCGTAAACCTGCAGTGATCCCGTACGTGTCAGGAGTATCGGACGCATTTTTTCGAAACACCTGGTCTCTGTGGCTTTTAAACCCGAAAACACACTGCGCCAAAAATTGGTCCACCCAAGGATCGGGTCCCCCGACACAAACAGAGTAACATAGTGTACGCTGTTAAGTGCAGGAGGATTGCCAGGATTTACACAAACAACCTCTGGCGAAGTGGATGGCACAACACAGAAGAGCCACCTCGTCAGGCCAGGACCCTGCAGTCTATTCACACCTACAGGCCAGTGGACACTCTTTCAATGATGAGGATGTAACATCCTGGACAGGGAAGAACGCTGGTTTGAGGGCGGAGTAGAGGAAGACATTTACGTGAAAAGGGAAAGACCATCTCTGAATCGAGGAGGGGGCCTAAGGGTCCATCTTTCGCCATCTTACAATGTTGTGATTGTAGCTATTCCCCAACTCTCTGTGAATGGGACTCATGGCCATTGATCAGTGGTCTTTGATCAGTGGTCTTTGGTCAGTGGTCATGAGAATTTGCATAATTAAGATTAAGGAACTGACCTCCCAGCCCATTGTTCCTTCAGTGGGCTGGTTTCAGTCATTATGCAAATGTCCTGTTTATAAGATTGAAACCTGCAGTCAGCTGAGACTGAAGACGTCACCTGATGATGATGAAACGTTTCTCCCAGAAAACGCTACGTCCAGATGAACAGAATCAACTTTTGGAGAATAGGCCTAAATGTTTCTTCTTCACTCACTTTTTGGCATTGATACGCCACTTTGCATTTAATCGTTACTTATTAATCTCTGGCTCTCTCCCACAGCATGTCCTTTGTCCCGTCTTCCTCTTTTCTTCCCAAACTGGTCGCAGCAGATGGCCTCCCACCCTGAGCCTCATTTCCTCCTATTAGAGTCTTGCTTAAAGGGATCATCCTACTGTTGAGGTTGTTGTACAGTATTTACCTTACACTATAAACACTGTTGTGATTCGGCAGTCTTGTATCAGTTGGCATGATCCAGTCTAGCTGCACGTTCAGTATTGATCTGCTAAAGTGAAGGTTTGTACATATAAACACAGAGATTTGATGAAAATAACAATAGTCCTTGTGAAGGGTATGGCAAATGTTTATTGTGTATTTAACTGTGTGATGGATGCTAGTTTAAGGATTTGGGGCTTTCTGATACTGACAGTACCGGATTACAACATTTAAGACAAAATGATCCATAGTGGCCGCCGCAAACCTTGGTTTCCTTACGTGTCGAGTAAAGATAAAGCTTTCTGTGAACGGAGCAGTGTTAGCTCACTGTAAGATCGTGTCTGTCAGAGAGAGTCTCTGTGGAGAGATGTTGCCACGGGGGTAGGAAAGTGACACAGCGTGCTCATGGGGAGCCATGTTGGGGCCTTTCAGAACCAGGGTGGAGGAGGATGCAGACATCCGTGGGATGCTATTCGATGTCGATATGTTGAGGAAGCCACTGGACTGAGATGCTGCTGAGCTCTGCCTCTGCTGAGTGCTGGAGGTGGAAGCTGAAACACAACATAGAGCAGCTGATTGAAGTGACAAACGAAAAGTGTAGCAGCACCTGCAGAGTCTCACTGAGCTTTACTGCACTTATATACGGCTGGTTTAGAAAGTTCTCTGTGAACATCTTTTACAGTTTCCATCTGGCAAAGTAAAAGGAAGGGTTGACCATCCAGGCTCCAGTGTGCAGCACATCTGGAAAGTATTTAGAGATTCAACAGCTCCCATTTAGTCATACTGCCTTATTCCAAAATGGAGAAAAACTTCTCACAAGTCTATAAACGATACTTCAGATTTACTGTAATTCCTGCAAATTTATTTAAAATAAAAAGGAAAAATATAACATGAACATTAAATATTCACAGTTTGGAACTTGAGCTCCAAAGTGTGTTTCTGAGGAGCAGCAGGCAGTTTGAAAGTGTGAAAAGTCATCTGAGCCTCAACTTACCACAAGCTGGTCTGGGCTGCTGATGCTGACTGATGGGGAAGCCCGTCTGAGAAAGACCTTGAGTGTCTCCAAAGGCCTGAAAGGGAACAAAGCAGCAAAGCTGTGGCTGATTGGTAAGCAGCTTAATGATTCAACTTTAAACAGACAGACAGAGAGAATGGGAATTCAATTTTGCCAAAGAAGGTTTCTAACAGATCTACAACTACAGGTCTGAGAGGCTCTCTGAGGGTCACAGTTACAGAAGGAAAAACAATAACAATTAACTGCATGTCTTTGGACTGTGGACTCGAACTCAGGACCTTCTTGCTGTGAGGCTAATCACTGCACCACCGTGCTGCCCCACTGAACTTCTAATGTGAAGTACAAAGTGCCTGATTCTCCTTTTGCTTTCGACTGAGGAGAAACTTTAAAACTGGAGTTAACAGCAGAGGTGGAGGCCACTCCTGTTGGTCTCACGCTCCTATATTCGATTCTGTAAATCTCTGCCTTTAGAAAAGGTCATTTTTCTAAAAACAACAAGCATACATAAAATTTAACGTTGGTAAACCGAAAATGTCGGCGGTGTTTAAAAGAAGACAAATGTTTCCATGACCTGGAAATAAAACGATGCCAATGGAGCAGCAGCTGAACGAGAATATTTTCACTCTGACCAGCAGATATTTTGCACAATTCAGACCCATTAATAACTGAAATAAGCCCAAAACTTGCACTAAAAATATCATAGATATACATATAAATAATAAAATAAACAATAGATATAATATATATCTTCTCATCATTTTAAATTTGATTTGTGTGTGGAAGCAGTTACAGGTGAAAATAAGTAGATTTATATCTGATACCAGTTTAATAGCGTTAGATTATGAAAATAGTCTTTGGTCTTAAATGATTTTGACTGTGTGGAGCTAAATGGCATTGGAGTGTGTCCCAGCTACCACAGGGTGAGAGTATTAACAAAAACATTAAAAAATAAAATACTCTAAAAGCACAAAACAGGAAAAAAAAGCTGAACAATTTTTAATAAAATGTGAAATGACTTTTTTTAGGCAAAGATTTTAGTATCAGAATAATGTGATGGGAACAGGGCAAGAGTCTGTGAGGCAGGCAGAGACACAATCAAGAACAAATCTATGCAGATCAAACAGATGATCAAATCAAACAGCTGGCTACGTTTCCTTGGCACTCCTGTTAAGGCAGATAACTGATAAAATGATGATAATCTCCAAAACATGAACGGACGGGTCGTCAGATATGGACTTGAGTTTGTGTTGCTGAATGTCTCTGTGCCATCTTTGTTGTCCGTTGAAAAACAATGCAATAGAAACAGAAAACACTCCCTTTGAATCCAGAGCAGGTTGTTTTCCCACCGGTACAGCCCTCACATTCGCACTTACACTACTTCATGTTAGCAGCTCCAGTATGACGGATCAAAGATGAAATTGGGCTGAAAGGTCTGTTGCTTTATTACGTGTTCAGGTTGTGTAACACATTTTTAAAAGGCAACTAAGTAATGAAACTAATTACTTTTGAAAATAAGTAATCAGTAAAGTACAGGATTACTTTCTTGGAGAAGTAATCAGTAATTAGTAACTAATTACTTACTAACTTGTTTTTCTTCTCTCACCCCAACCAATCACAGCAGATGGCCCCGCCCCTCCCTGAGCCTGGTTCTGCTGGAGGTTTCTTCCTGTTAAAAGGGAGTTTTTCCTTCCCACTGTCACCAAAGTGCTGCTCATAGGGGGTCATATGATTGTTGGGTTTTTCTCTGTATCTATGAAGCGCCTTGAGGCGACTTTTGTTGTGATTTGGCGCTATATAAATAACATTGAATTGAATTGAATTAACTTGAGCAACACTGGATATCACAGACACTAACACTCATCACTGTCAGTGATCACGCAGCGGTGTGTCACTGACACAGATAACAGTCACACGACCAACTCAAGATTTAATACATGGAAACATATTTAGAAAAATGATGACCTGCCAGAAATGTCACCGTATGTTCGATGGCAGGGTCTCAAACACCGGTCCTCAAGGG